GAGTTGTGTGTGTAGTCTGAATTAAAAGGTAAAGGAAGAAGGGAAAGTTAAGTTAAAAAATCTTCCCGTCAGGCCACACATCGAACGCTCCGTCAGCACGCATGACATCACGCTTCCCGCTGCAAACGTGTTTGCGACAGATCGAATGCGGCCCTGAGGGCTGAGAGGGGAAGCCTACCCATAAATACATTAAACAACAGGTTTACCCAAATTGTCGACATTTTCCCAACGTTATAAAGTTGGAGTCACCTCGCACGCCCCCTTGCGGCGCGGCGCTCATTGAACCCTTTTGTTTTGGGGCAGATGACGTTGCGAGTGGGCGAGGTTTGACGTGCGCCGCTGGAAGCCGCCGATTCACACGACGATAATGAACGCAACTTTGTTAAGACAGGTAAATTTCTTCTTTCCGAAATTGCTGTCGTCAAAAGGTAACATTCGTGGCATCAAAGTTGTGGAATTCATGCTGAGCCAATCCAGGCAGGTCAGGACAAGTCAGACAAACTAAGAAACATCGTTAAAGTACTTAGACGTATGCGCTGTTAGTATGTTCGTCTGGTTCGAAATGCATTGTGATAATTTAGTATCCGGTATGTGAAGTGATATATGCTGATGGTTCGTTATCATATCAAGATGTATTCGCAGTGTGGCTCCGTATGTCAGTGTGCTTACTTCGATTGGTGACAGCTTTGTGTTCGTTCCAGAAACCAAATTATTGGAGAAATACACGATATCTCGAGTTTTTTTTCTGTCCACTGTCGATGACAACCTGATATTGCACTATCAATATTCAATATCGCCTGATATTGATATATTGATATCAGCCTGATTTTGTTGCTGGACAAGTCGTTCATTTGAAAACAAAGTAAACGTGGTGTTATTGAACTGGTCCCACTGCTTATGATACATTCAAGGGTCTTCCAAATAATGGAAGCGTGTGTTATGCAATGAAAGGAAGATCCTAGGAGTCATGTTCCTGTGGAGCGCGACGGAGATCCGAGGAGCTCGTGTTACTGTGGAGCGCGACGGAAGATCCGAGCAGTTCGTGTTACTCTGGAGCGCAACTTAGATCCGAGGAGTCCATGTTCCTGTGGAGCGCGATGGGGATCCGAGGAGTTCAGTTTACTGGTGAGCGCGACGGAGATCCGAGGATTCGTGTTACTCTGGAGCGCGACTTAGATCGAGGAGTTAGGTTACTGTGGAGCGGGACGGAGATCAGAGGAGTTCATGCTACTGTGAAGCGCGATGGAACAGAAATCAGGGCGTTTATTGTGAATGCGGCAATGATAATGAATGCAGTTTGTGTGGTGGTGTGTGGGTTGTGTGGTGGGTGTGTGTGGTGTGTTTGTGGTAGGGGGGGGGCGTGTGTATGGTGTGGATGTGGTGGTGGTGGGAGGTGGTGTGTGTGGGTGTGTGTGTGGGTGTGGTGAGGTGGGAGGGTGTAGTGTGGTGTGTGGGTGTGTGGTGTGTGTGTGTGTGTGTGTGTTGTGTGTGTGTGTGTGTGTGGTGTGTGTGTGTGTTGGTGTGTGTGTGTGTGTGTGTGGTGTGTGTGTTCTATTGAAAAAGGCTAGAAAAGACCGCAGGAGCGCATCAGACCGACAGGATGTGTGTTAAGGGCCCTGAACAGAAATCACCATCATCTCACCTCACCTCACGTGAGCATGCTATGCAGACGGGGAGAGGGCGTGGGATCAGCTCAAGTTATTATACTGACAACTGGACTGGTAAACTGGATGATGTGTATAAATACACGCCATGTAACGATGATGTTCGCGTGTAATGATACACGCCATGTGTATGATATGCGTATGTGTGTATGATGATAACAATGTGTATAATGATACACGCCATGTAACCTGTGGTGATGTTCATGTGGCCTCGGAGCTGGCATAGCATTTTTCAATGAGATACGTAATTGTTAGTATGTTGGGAATAACAAATCGATAATAAAATACCGAATATCAAGTTGTCAGCCACACAATTGCTACATTATCGCTTCTAAGTATCCTGCCTCGGGCGCGCCAGGCAACGGGCGACAATTTTCCGTCG